CTTTATATGCGTTTTCTAAGGCTTTATAATCCATGACCCTTGATTTTGACTTCCCTCCAGTGAGTCAAACATTTGAAGCCATGGGCTGCAATTTGTTCATTCTTTTGCATTTTAGCCTCTAACCAGTGATTAACATCATACGTTTCCAAAGTTACTACTGGATTATGTACTTTAGAATGAATTATTCTGTCATGAGTTTTGCTCGTACTGAGTATAATCAGAAATCCTTTTAATGCAAATTACTAGTCTTTCTAGCTGTATTTCTGCGAATTACGCCTGTCATCACCTTTTTCTAAAAGTACAGCTACGCATCAAGCCACTAATACTATCACTCTTTCTAGTACTACTCGAAAGAAGCATCGAAGCATTGTGGGCCAAACTCTGTCGAAGTTCATCACTTTCTTTCTTCTCCACAAAGTTCCTCTGCTTCATCACGAAATATTCTGGTCACTTACAAACTCACTTGAAACACCTCATTGATTTTATGTCTGCAACTGTAAATTCGGAAGACTGTCTGATCACTGTGTTAGGCAGCACGGGCTTTCTCAGTTTATCAAATCAGTCTGGAATAATTATTTCCCATACAACGCAAATAATCTCAATAGCCTCACATTTTCACAATATGAAACCCGGATGCTTAAAAGAGCAAAATATTATACCTAACGCGTTTGGATTTAGAAAAAAACACACAGGAAATAAACCAATAATACCCACTAATCGCAAACAAAACTGAGAACTTGAATATTAGAGTATCAGAAGCGATTTGATAAGGGATGCCTTATCAAATCGAATGAGACTTAAGTCTCATTCCGGATGCTTATTGTCCATAACATCAGGTTATCCGGTTGTTAATTTCAAAGGCAGATGCATACAGCATAGATTGAGACGGAATACCCAAAATGTTATCTTTTACAACCTTATTTCTGAAGAATTAAGGCGCAATTCACAACGTTGGCGCTACATGCATGTATGCTAGTAATGTTCGTTTGACAATTTAGTGGTTGATTGCGTAACGTTTCTGTACAGGTGCACATTGAACCTAATAATACTAAAGTATTATAAAGGAGGGTTCATTTTGGGTTCCTATTGTTCAGAGTTGCCTACTTTAGTTGTAGATAAAATAATAGGCCGTACAACTATAGGATCACAACTATTTATAATGATATACGTGGGTGTTTATTTCTGGTTTATAAACTTTTGGGACCTTATGGCTCTCTTGAGGAAGAAAACCACAGCTCACTGACTAGTTACGATTTATTGTATTAAACAGCAAGCTACGCCTAGCATGAAATTGATGTTCTACAGAATTGTTAAGTTCAACCATCCTTTATTAATTTTGTGAGCATATCATCTTGGTAATATGTAGTTATGCAACATTGATGTAGATATTCGTCTTCCATCTGTTCAGTGGGCGATATGAACTTTGACCACCAATTGGGGTTCACTCCTCCAGGGAGTGCCAACACTGTGGTTCGTTGTTAACTGAATACTGATACATCCGCTAGCGAAGTCATGTTTTGTTCCTGACTTAAGGGACGAGTTTCGCTTGTGTATTTCAATGCATTTTTCTGACAAAATGTTATCATCTCAGACTTGTACACCTTGTCAGTACGTATATGACGGGTTATTGGATTGTTTACAGTCAGTTATTTGATGTACCTTGTTGTATGGTTGAAATTCGTTCACGATGAAGAAATAGTCTTCAATCGGGTGTGACAAATTAAACTAGTTCAGTTTTGTGCAGCGTTCTACATTAAATCGCTCGTTGGTCAGAGTTACTCGGTAAGAATAATCTGGCCAGATTTTTTCGACGAAATAACACAGCCAATGGGGGGGGGGGGTAGGAGAGTTTTGTCTGTTTTCGGGAATGCGGCTGCTTTAGAAGATCTAAGTGATATCTCATTGAAGCACATAAAAGGTGGAATAAATCTTTTTTGCATCATTTCAGACTACTAGGTGTCTCTTTAGTTAGCCATGACTGACTGACTGGTTTGAACATAGAACTTTGAATCAATGTGCAGCAGTTCGAGTCGCCACACTTCACTCAGCACACAAAGCCAGAGAAGAAAGTAAAAAGAAACGTAAAAGAGAGACAGTGAACAGAGATATGAGGCATAAAGAATAGTAATATCGAAGAACAATATAGTTTTATTGGAAATTATAAGTCACAAGGAGTGAGTGCATCTGCACCAGCCATTGAGAACGATTTTGAGCCATATCACCAATTGTCTCCAGCCATTGGTGTTTACCGTCCCGAGGACCCCAACCAGGAAGTCTTCACCTTCCTATGTGGCTGTCTTGAACTAACTGTTGTGGATTTCATTGACTGATGAAGCCATGTTTTGGTTTGACCACCACTGGCTGTTTTCCAACCTGATCCATCATATGTCAGCTAACATTGCTCGTCGGTCGAGGAAGGCGATGGGTGGCTAGGAATGCATGCGTAACACATGTCCTAACCATCTCAATCGATGTAGCCTCACAGCCTCGTCTATTGATTCCCCTCCTTACCTAGCACTCGACGACTAACCTGAATATTGCTCTCCTTATTTTAGCACTTAACCTGGGAGATAGAACTCAGGCACGTATGATCAAAGACAGCTAGTCAGCCTTTTCATGTCTTCTACTCTCAGTGGCCAGATCTCAGAACCATGGAGGAGGACGGAGCGGACTGCTGAGCAGTACACACGCCTTTTGGTCGACAGCCAGCCGGATATCACGTCTAAGCCAGAGATGGCTTAAACTGGCATATGTGAAACTAGCCCTCTGTATGTGTGCTGAGATTTCGTCAGAGATCAACCTGTTGGCGCAGGCTGATGCGACGTCCCAAATAAGTGAAGTGGTCAACGCGCTCTACCAATTCACTCCCTATTTCCAAGCTAAGAGTCAGTGTAGTCCAGTCCAGTCCTGTAGCATCATCTTACATTTGGTGGGAGCGAATCGCATGCCAAACATTCATAGATTGCAACTCAAGGTGTTTAGAAGACTCTGCATTTTGTCAGCGTCTTCACCTAGAGGGACTATATCATCTGCATATTCTAAGTCAACGAGATTATTCCCTGGTAACAAGTCAATCCCCGAGTCGCTGAAGTCACTTAGGGTTAAGTCGATTAGTACATCTGTGATGAAAATGAATTAAAATGGGGACAGTAGAAATCCCTGACAGACACCACTAGTTGTCACCACCTCAGATGACAACTCGCCGTAAGCCCTCACCTGGCTGCATGAGTTCGAGTAGAGTGATATACACTTTTTTCAAAAGTGTGGGATTTTGTTTGGCTACTTGCTTTTCTTGAAGGTTCTATTCTTTCGGGTACTCCGACAGAATACTAACTTCTGCGGTGTGCTTCAACGGGTGGCAGAAACCGCCTGCACGCGTCTATAAACACGCAGTTTCTTGTTAACCATATTATTGCAATGTAAAACCTCACTTGCTTATTGAAGGCATAAGTCATCGAAGCTCAGACAGCTGGCCATTGTTTAAATCTTGTTACAAATGACTGATTGATTGACCGACTAGCTGATTTTGATGTAGAAGAATAGCATTTTAGTTTACTACACTCCACATACCACATAAATGTGGAGAAAAAGAAAATCAATAACCACAACCAGCAGAAATGTAAAGGGGGAGAATATATGGTGAAAAATAAGGAGTGGGTGGGTCTAGGAGATTGCAGAGTGAATGCATCTGGGCCATTGAGAACGACGTTAAGCCGTGTCACTAACAGTCTCTAGCTGTTGGTTTCTGGCATCCCAAAGACCCCATCCAGGTATACTGCACCTTTCTACAGTCAAAAAATTTATGAATTGGTGTCATGTTTTGGCTTGAGCGACCCTAACTATTTTCCAACCTATTCCAACATCAGGTAACATGTTGGCTTTCAGTCAATTGGTCCGGGTTTCGAGTTCCGATCCACCTTCAGCCTGGATAAGTGGGTAGTAACATTAACCCCCTACACAATAACTGTGGCCTATAGCCCAGCACTGGATATAGAGGGTTCACCGTGGGTGGCTGAAAAACCCTGAACCTAAACTTCTGGTGCACATAGGACCCAGTATGTAAAAGGGACGAATGGTTTATGAACCTGTTTCAGTCACCCCCCGACGCTGTAAATAAAGTTCTGACGTTGTTCTGTTGCCTTAGGAGCCACATCCCAAATCAAAGATTCGGGGAGTGGTCCTTCATACAAACATTTGCTCCTTTACCTGTTTTCGTCCTATTTTGCTTCAGTAATTCAAATTAAGTGTTGTGTTCCAGCGAATTGGTTTATTTTAAGGTAGATTTCGTTGCAAACCGATATCATTTAGAGAATCACTGAACACTAGACACCATTGAATATGTTTGGCTTTAGTAAGATGCAATATCAGTCAGATAACCGTAATTCCAACATTTAAAAACCTACTTCTTTCTTCATTAGGAAGTTTATAAATTGCTTGTTTGCTACCCGATATACCAAGTTTGGATTTCAGATGAATAAGAGCTTCAGGCTAAAATACAAACTGGTGTTTGACTAATTGGTCGAGGATTTTGTAAACTGGGTTTCGTAGAACTGCACTTACTGTCGGTTTTACGATTGGATGCAGTAAAACATCGTATTAGAGTAACTATTGTCAGGGTTTTTATCCCTAAAATGTTTAAGATTATGACCATTTATTTCGTGTAAACCGATAATTAGAAGATAGTATCTGTGTGCCGTATGATTAATCCTTTGGGTCTAGTTATCGTAATTATGAAGTCTCTAGTGTAGTACATCCCTTTTTTAGGTGACACTAGACGCACTTCACGTTGCCTCTCTTCATTTGTTATTCTGTGAAAGCATGTAAATATAATTTCATAGATGTTGGTATGAGGGCTACCTTTTTGCAAAGTACCCCTAATAACTGAAATTTTTCTTCGTCCTCTTTCAGATCTGGTGTTTTCGCCCTTATGAAGTAGCTGTCCTTCGTTTACAACCAAATAAGAACAATAGAAGCGTATAAATTTCTATTTTCGGTACAGAATGAATCAAATTGTATTCGGTCTCTTCTCGAGTCGATTATTATCACCTAAACACACTAACAAGTACTTCCTTAAAGCTCCAGTGTATCTGTTTGGAACTAAGGATTATTGTTTAGTAACACAATTCAAGCGATTTGCTGGACACTCTCATTGGCAGAATGTGAGACATATTAAAGAGGCTGGTGACCGCGAAAAAAGCAAAAATGCAATATACTATATTAGGGCTGTGCAGACAGCAATTAGAAGTAAGGCAGATGGCGATCTTCAGTAATGTTAAACATAGGTGGTGGTGGTATCCGTGATCCAAAGTTGAATACAAAATTAGCAGCAGTTTTGGCTGAAGCCAAATCAAAGGCTGTCCCCTTTTCTACCCTAGAGAAACAACTGAATGCAGACAATGTGACTGATCCGTATTTAATTGAACTAAAGGCTCCGGGTGGTTTGTTCGTGATTGTGGAAAGTCGGGCCAAACAAGTCCAAAGTGAACGTCAGCGTATTGCCTCACTCATTAAAAGATATGGGTAACTTACTGTTGAAATTTTCATTTTCTTAAGTTGTTCTGTTGCACCTTCAGGGGATATAGCCAACCAATTTTTCGATCATATAGGCGTAATCACCGTTTCTGCTAAGTCAAATGAACGTTTACCAAATTTGGATGCAGCAACCAATTTGGGCATTGAAATAGGAGCCAATGAAGTAGAACTTCGTTTGGATGGAGAAGAAACATATGAGGTAGGGTGTTTAGAGGTACATCAGTACTTTTGTGTAATTTATTTATTTGTTACCGTATAGGGTTAATACGTTCACGAATATTTATGCCTGTTTTGTCAGTTTTCATTTTTTCTCGTTGTTTTTCTAAGATTTCCTTACATTTGTAAAACGTTTCCTACTGAAAAATACTTGCTTGACTACAGCTTCGTGAAGTGAGAGAAAATGAGCCAATTTAATTTTGTTCATATGTAGACATAACTTTACGCCAGTGAGACCAACTGTCACACAACTTCCTAACTTGCTTTATATTCTATTTCGTCTTATTTTTCTGTAGTAGAACATTTTATTTGTTAGGGATGAGTATTGTGTTATTCTCAAGGCACGTGTCGAGTGTTGCTTCAATGAATGAAAGACCAAGCACTTATCCTTCTCTCCATCTAATTATATTACTTCATGTTAGTAAGCAGTAATCCGTTAGAATTCATTGAAATTGATAAAGCTCAGTTACAAAAATAAAAGTAGTTTAGAAATGATTACAATGTGATCAGGAATAAACCCCCTTGGTATTACTGTAGGAGGAAGGAACTTGAAGGTGGAAGTGTAAAGTAGACTCATTTAAACGAAATTACTTAACTTATCAAATACCATGTAGTCATTGTGAAGTTAAATATGTCGGTCAATTGAGGGTTGCTCAGATTGCCAGAAAATTGCAGTTGAACCAAATCCAAGGTGAAGAATCTCACTAGGATAAATAATCAAGAAAAACCTCAATCGCTACTATCCATACACCATGATACAATCGCAAAGTAGAGTAAGATAGGGCAGGTAACAGTATCATGAATTTGTATTTGTTGGTAAAGAGAGGCGTTAATCTTCTGTTGGTTCAAATTTTTAAATCACTTCGCGATTTGCAATTTACTCAGTTCAAGGTAGAAATTTCACCACAGTTTCGTTTGGAAGCCAACATTTTCCAGATCACATGTGATCTACTTAGTGCTGAAAACAGGGAAACACTCGTCCAGTGTTGAGATCACTTCTATCTGGTTAGCACGCACAGCTAGTTGAAGTGAGTGGCATCCAACTACTCGCATCAATCAATCAGTAGTATACAATATCAAACAGTTAATTAATTGACTCTTTAGCCACTGAATCAACACTCGACACGTGCTTTGGGATTGATGGAATACCAATCCCTAACATATGGAAAATCCTCCTACAGAAAAATAAAACAAAACAGAACCTGAAGCAAGTGAGGAAGTTGTATGCCTACACTGGTATAATTCTAGGGGGTAAATTGTGGTTAGAATGTCGATCATCTATTATTACTGTGTATTAAACTTGATAAAATTAATTAATTAACATGGAATAATTTTCCTCCACAGTACCAAAGTTTCACTTTTACATAGATAACTGAGGACAGTTGATGTTACTGGGGTAAAATTATGTCTTCAAGTAAACAAAGTTAGATTGGTTCATCCCATTTCATGACGGAAGAATGGTTGGATTAATGAAATACTTAAATTGTCTCCAATGTCATAGGCTCTCAAAAAAGATTAAGAATCTCAGCCAGACTTAATGGATGAATGCCATTTTTGTGTAGTCATCTACTCTTAATTTTCACTTTAACCGCATTTCTGAAAATCGGTCATTATTAAACTGGTTTCTTTTGGAGGGATACCTCCAGTTACAAAGACATAAATCGCCATCAGAATATGAAGCTTGCAAATAATGCATTATTAGTTACTGTGCCAGTGTAAAGAATAAAATGTAACTTTAAGATTTCTATTGGTTGAAAGTCCAATATTTTTATTATAAGTAGTAAACAGTAGACTAATGTATAATTAATTATTCACAAAAACCTGGAGGTTTAGACTTGAAAATTAATTAATACATTCTGTCAGTGAGAAGGAAACTAAATCTGCAATCCAACACTAGGAGATTAATCTGCTATTCACTAGTGACTTACTACGGGATTAGTTTGCCTGAATCTCCCAGTGAGAAGTAGTGATCAGTGGAGTCTATCAGTTTAAACCTGAGGACAAATACCCACCATTGGTTCTGACGGGCTGTTGAACTATATGTGGCAAATTAGTGGAAGTTAAATTCATGGGCCATTAGATTCAGTTCCATTGTTTAAGTGGACAACGGATTCGCCTCGTCACCTCAAGGTCTTGGATTCGATCCCCTTCGGGGTCATAGGTGCACACCGCTAAAGAGTCATAGACTAGGACGGAACAGCTGTTCAGTACTTTCTGGTTTTTAATGATTCTCTAACTGATGTCAATTCATGGTCTAACTTGAAGTCAATTGGATCCCTGCCAAACAACGCTTGAGAAACAAATACATTTGCACTTAGTGTAACATCTGCATTTTTATCCATTAATGCTACGAGACGATACAATGTGTGTAAATATTTTTCCATTCAACTTATTTATCGACGTTTTCTTTTCTTCCAATTAATTTCAGTTTCTTTGTGAGGTGAGTGAAATAAACAAGCTACGTGAATCCCTTGAAAATATACATCAGATACCTGTATTGGATTCACAAGATATATACTCACCTAAAGTTGTTGTTCCTGTTTTACAAGAAGTTCGTGAAACACTAGAGGAAATGTATGAAAAGATTAGGAACCAACATGAATACGTAGAAAGAATATTTGACAATACAACTGTTAAAAAATAGACAAACGGGAATAGAAATGGAAACAAGTTTATTTTTCTTTCGTCCATTTTGTTTCTGTATCTTACACCTTCATATCGAGTGGGTATTATGCAGTACCACCCCACACTTGTAAATGTACACTAAACTTATTTCTAACTCTGTTATTATATTGCTTAACGTTTAAATCTCGTGTAGATTGTGTTTTGTTTAGTTGCTTACGTTTTTTTTCCTTTGTGGATTCTAGACATATTGGATATGTAAAGCCTAAAAGAGATTACCTTTTCGATAATATCAATTTTGAAATTGTACACTTGTAATCATTCTTATAATTTTCATGATAATCTTTTTTCAGGCTCTGTTTCAAAAAATATATGCATACAAGAGAGAATCATTTTTGTATGTACAATCTTACTATTCCTACTACTAGTAGATACGAGAGTGAAGATTTTGTAAACAGTTTAATTGTACATGTAGATGAAGTGAATAAAGGTTTGAAAGATTATTATGATGGATTGGCAGTAGAAACTGAAGTAGGTAGGCATATTTTGAATGCAAATGTAATATGTGTATGAATGGGGTGATAAGAAGGAGGTCTGTCTGGATTCAACATAGAACTTGGCACCGAAGTGCAGCAGTTCAAGTTGCCACGTTCCGAATAGCACACAAAGGTCGACAAGAAGATGAGTGAAGGGAATCAATAGTTTTGACAAGTATAAGAGTGAAACAGAATGACTAATGGTAGAAAGGTATATGAAAGATTACAGAGACTGAATATACCTGCGTAAGCCATTGACAACGATTTTGAGCCATGTCACCTATTGTCTCCAGCCATTGATTCTTAGAGTCTCGAGGGCCACAACCCGGAAGTCTGCATCTCCCTACCTGACTCAGTTTAACTGTCAGGGATTTCATGGATTGATGCCATGTATTTGTTTGGCCACCACTTACTCTTTTCCAACGTGCACCTATATCAGTTAGTAATGCCGGTCGGGGTGGGGGAGGCGATGGTTAGGCATGCGCACCACGTGACCTAGCCATCTCAATCTATGTAACTTTATAGCCTCTTTGATTGATTTTCCCTCTTTGCCCAACACTCTACGCCTAACGTCAACATTACTTACTTTATTATACGATAAGAAGGAGGCGGGGGGTATTGAAATAAATGAAATAAGAGGATTTAATTAACTCTTCCCTGTTCAACGTAGGAATAGCGGGGTTTACACATTTTGAATACATACTAGGGTTATTGATCCCGATTGGGGTCCTCGGGACGGTAAACACCAATGGCTGGAGACAATTGGTGATACGGCTCATATTCGTTCTCAGTGATTTATAATGCCCAATAAAACTCTATTGTTCTTCCATGTTACTATTATTTTTACCTAATATTTCTGTTTAATATCTCTCTCTCCTTTCTATCTGTCTTTACTCTCTTCTCTTGCTTCGTGTGCTACAAGAAAGGAGTGTGGCAACTCGAAGTGCTGCACTTCTGCGCTAAGTTCTACATTGATCCAAATGTCTATAGCGTGTGACTTATTTTTCTGACAGACGAACACAAACCACAAAAGGAACTATTATGGTGGATGCAGTCTAACGACTGACTGTCTAACTTATCAACGTAGAACTTTGCACTAAACTGCAGCAGTTCAAGCTGACTCAGTTGATAAAAACACACAGGTAGAAAACAACAACTCAAGAGAACTATAATGAACAGAAATTTACGGGAGAAAGAATAATTGTACGAAGGATAATGAGGATATAATGAGTCTGAGAGGTCGCACAGAGTGATGAATATATTTGCACAACTGAGGACGATTTTAAGTCATATCACTAACAATCTTTTTAGCCATTGTTTCTTAGTGTCTCGGGGTCCCCCGTCAGTTGGTTTTCACATCCCTGGTATGCGTAATACATATCTCAGCCATGCAGTTTCACAGTCTCATTAATTTAAGTAACACTGTACGCGTAAATTCATTATTACTTGACATATACTACCCACAAGAGAAGCAGAATGCATACACCTGTGTGGTCAAAGGCAGCTAAATTTTTCACCCCGGATAACCATGACTCAGGGATATAAATAAGGATTAAACAGGCTGCTGCTCAGTAAATATGTTTCTTGGTGGACGGACGGATATCACGTCTACTCCAGAAATGACGCAAGCTGCTAAGTCCGAGACGAACTTTTCTTATTTGTGTAAACGTTCCGTTGATAATCAGTCACGTAACTTCCCAACTAGATGGAGTGGTTAGGAATCTTTGGGAGTTAGTCAAGGCCAGTCCTACACCATAATCTTAGATTTGACTAGGGTAAATCGCACGTTGTCTGTCTGTTTTCGACATAGAACTTTGCACATGTGTGCGGCAGTTCAAGTCGCCACACTCCATGTAGCACACAAAGCAAGAGGAGAAATGCATAATAAAGACAGTAAACAGAGGTGTGAGACAAAGGTATAGTAATAACGAAGAACAAAACAGTTTCATTGGAAATCATAAGTCACACGGAGTGGATACATCTGCGCCTACCATTGAGAACGATTTTGAGCCATGTCACCAATTGTTTGCAACCATTGGTTTTTACTGTCGCGAGGACCCGAACCAGGAAGTCTACACCTTCCTACGTGGCTTAGACTAACTGTTGTAGATTTCATTGACTGGTGCCACGTTTTCGTTGGACCGCCGCTAGCTCTTTTCCAGCCTAACCCTATATCAGCTAGCTAACATTGACCGTCGAGGAAGGCGATGACTAGGCATACGTAACACATGTCCTAACCATCTCAATCGATGTAGCCTCACAGCCTCGTCTATTGATTCCCCTCCTTACCTAGCACTCGACGACTAACCTGAATATTGCTCTCCTTATTTTAGCACTTAACCCGGGAGATAGAACTCAGGCACGTATGATCAAAGACAGCTAGTCAGCCTTTTCATGTCTTCTACTCTCAGTGGCCAGATCTCAGAACCATGGAGGAGGACGGAGCGGACTGCTGAGCAGTACACACGCCTTTTGGTCGACAGCCAGCCGGATATCACGTCTAAGCCAGAGATGGCTTAAACTGGCATATGTGAAACTAGCCCTCTGTATCCGTGCTGAGATTTCGTCAGAGATCAACCTGTTGGCGCAGGCTGATGCGACGTCCCAAATAAGTGAAGTGGTCAACGCGCTCTACCAATTCACTCCCTATTTCCAGGCTAAGAGTCAGTGTAGTCCAGTCCAGTCCTGTAGCATCATCTTACATTTGGTAGGAGCGAATCGCATGCCGAACATCCATAGATTGCAACTCAAGGTGTTTAGAAGACTCTGCATTTTGTCAGCGTCTTCACCTAGAGGGACTATATCGTCTGCATATTCTAAGTCAACGAGATTATTCCCTGGTAACAAGTCAATCCCTGAGTGGCTGAAGTCACTTAGGGTTAAGTCGATTAGTACATCTGTGATGAATTTGAATAGAAATGGGGATAATGGACTTCCTTGACGGACGCCACTAGTTGTCACCACTTCAGATGACAACTCGCCGTAAGCCCTCACCTGGCTGCATGAGTACGAGTAGAGTGCCTTAATGAGTGCAATGTATTTTGTCGGCATTCCTTTCACAGCCAAGCATCGCAAGAGAACCTCTCGGTCGACAGAATCGAATGCCGCCTTTAGGTCAAGAAATATAATGATTGTTAGACGCCAGTAGGAATGCCTACGTTCTATAATCTGTCGGAGGGTGAAGATATGATCAATACACCCTCTTCCTGGCCTAAAACCTGCTTGGTTTTCTCGTGTTTGTGCCTCCCGAGCACCACTTAGTCTACGCAGTATTATTGAGCCTAGGACTTTAGATACTATAATAGTCAAGCTAATCCCTCTGTGATTATCATAAGAAGACTTGTCTCCCTTCTTGTATATTGGGATGATCAGTGACTTACACCAACCCGATGGGACTTCCTCTGATTCCCAGACGCTGCCTAGAACCTCAGTTAATGCAGACAGTAAACTGTCTCCTCCGTACTTAAATACCTCTGGAGTCAATAAATCAGGTCCCGCTGCTTTTCCTTGCTTCAGATTAGTGACAGCTTTAGTAACCTCAGTTAAGGAAGGAGGACCTGTGTCTGTATCCCATTCAGGGAGGTATTGGATGTTCGGCAGGTTAAGTGTGGCTGTAGGCCGATTAAACTGCTCCTCACAGTGTTCTTTCCAGCGTTCCAGTCGTCTATCCCGGGAGCTAATTGTGGTGCCATTTTTCTCCGAGATTGTTTCGCTTATCATTTGCCTTTTGCCACCTGTTTCCCTGATAAGCCTGAATAGTTGTCTGGTGTTACCAATCGCCGATGCCTTTTCCAACTCTTTCGCTTTTGTCGCCCACCACTGTTCACGGTCCTTGCGAAGACTTTTTGTTAGTTTTTGTTTAAGTAGCTTTCGCTCCTCATCATAATTGGAGCTCGCTGGAATCAGTCTTCTTGAGTCAATCACTTCGGATGAGGCGGTAGAGATCCAATGGCTTTTATTAACTTTAGGTTTTAGCTTATTAACAGCTTTCACAGCTGTATCTACAGCTAACTGTATGTTGTGCCAGGCTACCTCGGGGGAAGTCCTGCTGTCGACCTCAGGTATTCGTTTCGCTATTTCTTCCTTAAATAAGGACTCAGTGTCTCGATCTAGTTGGGGACGTAACTGTCTCGCTGCCAGCAATTTCTTATGTCCATTTAGTCGTAAGCATAAACGTGAGCGAACCAGAGCGTGATCAGAGTCTACGCACGTGTTCCAGAAGGGGCGACAGTCTTCTACTGACCCTCGCCAACGATACCCTATGGCTATGTGGTCTATCTGGGTCCAGCGTTGATTTGGTGATGGAGGTCGCCAGGTTACGCAATGTCTCTCTTTGTGCCTAAAGTTAGTGCTGACTAGGAACAGATGATTATCTGAGCAAAACTGTAGAAGACGATCACCTTTGTTGGTTCGTCGGCAGCGAACTCCATACGTACCACCTACATACTTCTCAGTCTGGCACAACTTCCCTACTTGGGCATTGAATCGCCTGCTAAAACAACTATATCTGAACGTTTTGCTTTTTGTAGCAAATTGGACAGTTTCAGGTAGAAGTCATCCTTCAGCTCATCCGAACTGCTGTCTGTTGGGGCGTAAGCAGAGACTACGAAAATCGCACACCAAACATACCAAGAGTTTCTGGTCAGGGTGTTCAGAAAAATCTGTTTCGTCAGTGTCATCCAATGGAAGGAAAATGTCGGTTACATACTCTAGGTAAACAAAACTCTACCCTGATAACAAGTCGATAGCGAATGCAATGAGAACTATATCCAGTAGTACGTCTATGATAAAATTAATAAAAATGGAGGCTTTGGGATTCCTTGCCGGATACCACTGGTTGTCGGCACTCCCAACCCAGCGAGACATTTCGATAGTGTGTCACGGTCGACGGAGTAATGTAGCCATCAAGTGAAGAAATAATGACAAGTACTGGGCGTCAGAGAGGGCGCCTGTGTTTCAGAATCTGAAAAAGAGTAAAAGCGTGATTGCTGCACCGGCGTCCAAACCCAAAGCCTTCCGGCTTTTCATAGGACTGTC